GTACCAACAGCCTCTTAGGACGTTACCTGAAGGACACCCTAGGGAAAAAGGGAAAGAGTTGTTCTGCCCTGGACACTTGGTGCTTGGTAAGTCTCTCCCCTCAGACTCTCCCTCTCCAGGCCCATCTTGGGAAGGACGATTTTCGGTTATTCTATCTACCCCAATGGCAGTTAAGGTGCTGGGAATTGACTCGTGGATTCATCACACTTCGCTGAAGCCTTGGACACCTCCTGAATAAAATCATAGGCCCTCCACTCCACAGCCTGAAGTTCCAGGAGACGGCCCTTTGTACACCTGCCAGCGTTTAAAGGATCTATGTTTGCTCTTCCAACAAGATCCCCAGGAAGGTAACTACTCATGAGTCTAACTTACATCCTGGCATTAACAGGACTATCACTCTTAACTTTACTATTTGCAACCAGACTCTATGTGGTCCCTACGGATGGACCTACATCTCATAAACTGTCCTTATCCATGGCTTACTGCCTAATTATATTTCTAATAGCTCTCCTCTTCTCCCTCTGATATGATCACTCCCTCGCTATGACCTCTCTTAAGGTTCTCATTATCTTCTCTTTAGCCCCACTCATCCTGTCAACTCGTGCACACCCTACATGTAAACTCATAGTACTAGCTATAATCTTCCTGGAAGAAGCACTCATGATTTGTCACTCCAAGACTGGTTCCAGAGGTACAACCACCTCCTATTTTCATATCATACATGTATATGCACAAAAATTGCTATACCTCTGCTTCCCTGTGCACATACAACTCACACACCTACTGGACTGAACAATAATTAGGCCTAATTGTCCAGCTGCTAAGGAACCACCACCTGTTGGGCATACTTTACCCATGTTGGAATGTCAGATGGGGGTGGAGTTCAAGATCAGGCTCAGGAACAGCATCGTTAGGAACTAGTCTCTAAGCAAACTGCAAAGTAAAACCAGTCCCTACAAGGGCCTGGACCTTTCCAAGTTACACGAGACCCTTTGTACACACTCTCGTANAGGTAAATAGATTGAGGTCCCCTATGTACAAGTTTTCTTTTCTCTAAGGAACAATCCTCAGCTATGTAAAGCCTGTAACCTATACCCTACTGGCCACTCCTCAGGACTACCCCCACATTTAGGTCTCCCCGTTGGTCCTCCCTCCACCACTACTGGCCCCTCCTCAGCACTACCCCCATATCGAGGAGTCAGGGAAAGCCGAGGTGGTCAAGGCACCAAGGCTACTAGGATGGCCCAGCTCTGCCCCCTACAGGCAGTAGGAGGAGAATTTGGCCCAACCAAAGTACATACTCCCTTTTCTCTTTCTGACTTAAAGCAAATCAAGGCTGACTTAGGAAAATTTTCAGATGACCCAGACAAGTACATGGATGTTCTGCAGGGCCCGGGTCAGTCCTTCTATTAAATTGGGAAGATATTATGTTACTGCTTAGTCAGACCCTAACCAGTAATGAGAGACAGGCTGATCTGGCAATGGCTCAAGAGTTCGGGGACACGTGGTACCTTAGTCAAGTACATGATCAAATGACATTAGAGGAGAAGGATAGATTCCCTAAAGGTAGACAGGCAGTCCCTAGCATGGATCCTTGCTGGGATCCTGATTCAGAACATGGGGATTAGAGTCATAGGCACTTATTGACCTGCATACTTGAGGGAGTAAGACAAACTAGGAAAAAGCCCATAAACTATGAAGAGTTATTCACCATAACTCAGGGAAAGGAAGGAAACCCAACAGACTTCCTTGAGCAGTTTTGGGAAGCCTTAAGAAAGTATACTCCCCTGTCACCAGACTCCAAGAGTCACCTAATACTAAAAGTCAAATTTATTATGCAATCAGCAGCAGACATTAGGAGGAAGCTCCAGAAGCCGGCCCTGGGGCCAGAACAGAGTCTAGAATCATTACTAAATCTAGCAACCTCAGTGTTCTAACAGAGACCAGGAGGAACAGGCTGAAAGAAAAATGCCACAGCCCTAGTCATGGCCTTCAGGCAAGCAGACCTAAGGAGGCTGGAAAAGGGAAAGGCTTGGGCTAGCTGCCAGTCTGGCACAGCTTGCTACCACTGCAGCCTACCAGGACACTTTAAGAAAGATTGTCCCCAGAGGAATGGACCATCTCCTCATCCTTGCCCACTGTGCCAAGGGGATCACTGGAAGGCGCACTGTCCCCGGGGATGAGGGTTCCCAGGGTCTGAGGTGGCTAACCAGATGACCCAACAGCAGGACTGGGGGTACACAGGGCAAGCACCAGCACAAGCCATCACCCTCACCAAGCCCCAGGTAAAGCTGACCATAGAGGCCCAGGAGGTCCACTTTCTCCTGGACACTGGCACAACCTTCTCAGTTTTCCTTTACTGGCCTGGAAGGTTGTCCTCCAAGTCTATAACTATCTGAGGAGTCCTAGGACAAGCAGTGTCCTGATATTTATCCCAGCCCCTAAGCTGTAACTGGGGAGATATGCTCTTCTCTCATGACTTCCTCATCATGTCAGAACGTCCCACTCCCTTACTAGGGGAGGACCTGTTAGAGTAGGAACCATTATCTATATAAACGTCAGGGAAGAAATCCCTCTCTGCTGCCCATTATTTGAAGAAGGGATTAATCCCAATGTTTGGGCAATGCAGGGACAATTTGGTCAGGCAAAGAATGCCTGCCCAATTCGAATAAGGCTAAAAGATCCCACCTCTTTTCCTTACCAAAGATAGTACCCTCTAAGACCAGAAGCCACAAAGGGGCTACAGGATACTGTAAGGAACCTATAAACTCAGGGTCTATTGAGGTCCTGTAACAGCCCTTGTAATACTCCAATTTTAGTACAAAAACCTAATGGACGATGGAGGCTAGTGCAGGATCTCAGGCTCATTAATGAAGCTGTGGTCCCTTTATACCCAGCCGTACCCAACCCATACACCTTGCTCTCTCAAATACCAGGAGAGGCACAATGGTTCACATCCTGAACCTTAAGAATGGTTTTTTCTGTGTTCCGTTACATCCTGACTCCCAGTTTCTGCCCACCTTTGAAGACCCTTTAGACCAGAATTCTCAGCTCACCTGAACAATGTTATCCCAGGGCTTTTAAGATTGCCCCAATCTGTTTGGCCAGGCTCTAGCTCAGGACCTTAGTCATTTTTCATATCCAAATACCCTGGTTCTTCAATATATGGATGACTTACTTTCAACTGCTAACTCATAAACCCAGTGTCAGCAGGCCACCCAGGACCTCCTAAACTTCCTAGTCACCTGTGGATATAAGGTTTCCAAATCAACAGTCTAACTTTGTAGGCAACGGGTAAAATACCTAGGGCTTGTCTTGTCTAAGGGCACTCAGGCCCTTGATTGAGATTGTCTCCAACCCATACTGGCCTTCCTGTGTTCAAAAACCTTAAGACAGTTGTGGGGATTCTTAGGAATAACTGGTTTCTGCCGATTGTGCATTCCCAGATATGGTGAAATAGCTAAACTCCTTTACACTCTAATTAAGGAAATCAAAAAAGCTAACACCCATCTAATACAATGGGACCCTGTAGCTGAGGTGGCCTTTCAGACCCTGAAGCAGGCACCACTACAGGATCCAGCTCTAAACCTTCCTATAGGGAACGACTTCTCCCTGTAGGTTATGGAATAGTCAGGAGTGGCACTGGGGTTTCTCACCCTGACTTGGGGGACCATACCACAACTCGTGGCATACCTAAGTAAGGAAACTGGTGCAGTAGCAAAAGCCTGGCCACACTGCTTGCGGGTCATAGCCATGATGGCTTCATTGGTCACAGAAGCTGTTAAAATTGTGCAGGGGAAAGATCTAACTGTATGAACTTCATATGATGTAGCTGGAATTCTGGCCTCTAAAGGAGGCTTATGACTGTCTGACAACCACTTACTCAAATATCAGGCCTTAATGCTCAAAGGGCCTATACTTCAGCTGCACACATGTGCAGCCCTCAATCAGCGACTTTTCCTCCTGAGGAAGGGGCAGACAACATAACTGACAGCAGGCTATAGCCCAGAACTATGTGGCTCGAGAGGATCTCTTGGAAACTCCTCTAGCCAATCCTGACCTTAACCTATATATTGATGAGGTTCCTTTATTGAAAATGGAGTTTGAAAAGCAGGATATGCAGTAATCAGTGATCAAACAGCACTGACTGTTGGATTTGCCTTCCACTATGCTTCAAACCGTATATCCCAGTTCCTGTTCCATACTCATGGAACCTAACTAACTCTCCCTCAAATCATACAGGGCTTATAGGTCCCTTGGTCACCAATCTACACATACCATCTACTGTAAACTTCACTTGTGTGAATTCTCCTAACAACTCCAATGCTTCCCTATGCCAAAGCTGGGTTGCCTTATCCCCAGTCCTCAACTGCCTAGCACCAGGCTTATTATTTGTTTGTGGCACCTCAGCTTACTGCTGCCTGAACCATGCCCCTGGGGAAATATGCCTCCTCTCCTTCGTAGTGCCCCGTCATGACGATTTACACCGACTCTCAGGTGCAGAGTCTTCTCTTGCCAAGGCCATACCATACTTGAACCCCAATTATTCCTTTCATAGTGGGGGCCGGAATAATAGGAGGACTTGGTCCTGACATTGAAGGAATTACAACCTCTACTCAGTTTTACTATAAGCTATCTCAGGATGGAAAAGTTGCTAATTCTCTCGTAACTCTGCAGAAGCAGCTTAACTCTTTAGCTGCTGTGGCTCTTCAAAATAGAAGGGCACTGGATCTGCTAACAGCAGAGAGGAGGATCCTGTCTCTTTTTAGGAGAAGAATGCTACTACTTTGTAAACCAATCAGGTATTGTCTTAAAGTTAAAGAACTCAGGGACCAAATCAAATGCAGGGCTAAAGACCTCCAAGAAACAGGATCCTGGAGCTTGTGTAGCAACTGGCTGTCCTGGCTCTACCGTCTTCCAGGCCTGTTTGTCACCATTCTGTTGTTGCTGGCCTTCAGGCCTCTCATCTTTAACCTTCTTTTCAAATTTGCTTCTTCTAGAATTGAGGCCATGAGGCTACAAATGGTCCTGCAAATGAAACCCGGAATGCCTTGGCTCATGAGCTCTATAACAGACCTCTGGATCTACCTAAACCCCTGGAAGCCTCCCCTCTGGAGGAAACCTCAACTGCAGGGCCCCTTCTATGCCCCAATTCAGCAGGAAGTAGTTAGAGAGCAATCGATGCCCATGTCCCAACAGCAGCTGGACTTTCCTGTTCAGAGGGGGTACTGAGGGACAGTGTTAAAGAAACTTCTCTTCCTGGGTCCACATGGGGCATGGTTTCAAATGCAGGAATTTCCTTTGAGCACCTCCTCTACACCTCCATCTGGAGACCAGAGGGGATTCAAATGCAGGAATTTCCTGGCTCCCCACCTCACTGAGCACCTCCTGCACGTGGGCCAGGTAAAATTCTATCTGATCTTCCTGTGCACGGGAAAGCCAGGTGGGGGACTCTTTTGTCCCAAATTCCCACTGAAAGCTCTGGGAGGAAGAGGCTGTGTAATTCAGGGTTGTAGAAGAAGTAGCCAATCCAGTATCAGAGTCAAAGATCAATCACCCCAGAGGAAGTCTGAAGGAACTCCCCTCATTGGACGAGAACATGAATAGGGAGGGAATAACTCAAGGATTAAAACTTCAGGGGCTCCTACCTGAAGGGATTCCTTTTCTGAGTCCCCTCCCATGACAGCGTGGGAGCTGTCTTCTTTCTCTCTCTCTGTCTAATAAATTACTCTTCTGCAAAACTCTTTGGGTCCACGATATTTATTGGAATGGTAAACTCATCACGCCTCCAGGGCCCCTTTCTCCATTGTTCAGGGTTAGAGAGACCAAGAATCTACAAGCCCTGGGTACTGTCCTGGAAACAGCAATATGAAAGATACATGCCACAGAAGAAGAATACCAGAGTCCAAGTAAGAAACTCTTGCTTTTAAATGCATTGATGTGACCTGTGAAAATATATTTTATCTTTTAGGCCTAGTTTTTTCATTAATGAAAGACAAATAATAAGCAATTACCGTGGGTCTACTGTGAGGCTTTAAGGGGGAAAAAGCAAAACTATGTAAAATTCCATTCAAGAGCTTACGCCTGATATAAAATTTCAATCAATAGTGATTTTTCTCTACAGTTTTGTTCATGTTAACCACAACTGCATTTATATTTTAATCACCTCTTCCAAACACCAGAAACCACCCTCTTTTCAAAGTATATCAGTTCTTTGAAATATTACATAATTAAATAATTGAAGGCTCAGAATGTCATCTTTGTTTGTGAATAACTTTCTCGTTATTTCTTAAATAATGTTTCCACACTATAACACCAAACTTAAACCCATGATGTTTTAGAACTAAATGGTTTATATAATATTTAAAGACTAAATAAATATGTTTTTCTTCTATCCTAATGAATACTTAGCAAAAAAGAGATGTATTTTAAATACCATAGAATGCTGCCTCTTTGATCCAGGTTTAAAAAGAAAATTTTATACGGCATTAGAGTAGCCTACAGTCTTTAAATTTTTCTTACTGGCTTCCACCTGAGAAAGGAATGGCACTTTCTTTGTTACCTTATAAGATGGAAGAGGTAAGCGAAAGGACTGCTGAGGGATTGTTGATAGTGATTTACCTAACTTCTTCACAAGTAGCAACTTCATGTTGCTTTTACTTTATTTCTGACACCTACTAAATGTGTTAAAAGCACTAGTTCAGAATTTATCTTAAGTAGGTTTTCGTGAATTTAATATTGTGTGGGCACTCAATCTTTGCAAATGTGGAAGGATTTTTTTTTTTTTCCTGAAAAGACTATAAAGTAGAACAGCTTCCTTGGGTAGTAAATAGCAAGTGTACAGGTTTCTAAGATCAAGGAGTGGTTAAAGTCAATTTTGTCCTGTAAATGGCTCTGCGTATAAAGCGAAGTGCCTGGGCAGGACAACGTGATAGAAGATGGTGCACTTAGTGCCCAGGATCTATTTTTCTTTGGATAAACAGAGTGCTTCACTCTCTTTCCTTTCTGCCAATCTTCCTTTCACAAGGACTAAATTACCTAAATGGAGAGTGGGTTGTTAAATGTCTGAACTTCAAGATTCTAAAAGTACTGGCAGTTTGCCATATTGAAGATCTGACAACGACTGGTCTTGTTTTTACTTAAACACTCCTCCCCATTTAGATATTGACAATATAGATAATGGGAATGTCCTGTAATTTCCTGCCACACTTTATGTTCAGTGGGAGAGCTCAGTATCTTTACAGAACTTCTATTTTTTTATTTTTTTTCATCCCTACTTCCACTGAAGTATTCATTGGAATGGTAACTTTCACAGTTGTACTTACTATTTTAACCTGTACAAGGAAGATGCTGTCCCTGCACTGTTTTATAATGCTATTCTTCTTAGAGTGAATTAGAAATATAGAATGAAAACAGGAATCAGGAAGTGGAAAATCTATGGTGTTGAGGTAGTCACACAAATACAAAGATGCTAGGACCATTTTCAACCTAAGATTATTTTTATATCTAGCACCATATTCCCATTGAATGGCAACCACTGTAGTATATATACATCGTTGACCGGATTTGATTCAAATTACCAACATTTCTTAAGTTTGTTTCCTTTATTTGAAGAAGTTATTATTTGGCATTTCCTGTCTTTCTCAAATAAAGCTAAAAGGAGTTAAATTCAGAGAGTGTGTGGGTAGCTAGCTAGAACATAGTAAACACTCAATAAATTTGCTAATGTTGTTAAGGCTGAACTTTTTTGATAAGTTTTCCTTGACAGATATATTCAGGTCTAAGCCAAATTATTTGTCAAGTTTCCCTTATGTAGTTCCAGAGTGATTATATCATGTCCCAAATCTGACTATAGCAAGTTATCAAAGGGTAGTATTCTTTTTTCTCCTCTTACAACTTTTACTAAAATTCAGAAATGTGTATCCAGAGATGTTTAAGAAGCACTGGTACAATTTCTATGCATACTTTTCTATAGGAAAAAATACTATTTCAAGTGACTGTTGCTAATTTCCATTTTTTTTCTTTTCTTTTTTGAGATAGAATTTCACTCCTGTTGCCCAAGCTGGAGTGCAATGGCGTGATCTTGGCTCACTGCAACCTCTGCCTCCCGGGTTCAAGTGATTCTCCTGCCTCAGCCTCCCAAGTAGCTGGGATTACAGGTGCCTTCCTCCATGCCTGGCTAATTTTTTGTATTTTTAGTAGAGACTAAAAAATACATGTTTCATCATGTTGGCCAGGCTAGTCATGAACTCCTGACCTCAGGTGATCCACCCACTTGGCCTCCCAAGTTAAAGTGCAATCTTTAATATGAGCTCCAAATACAGTCAAAGCACAGAAGATAATCCAGGCAAAAAGAGAGAAATCTATAGTACAAGATAAATTTACAAAAGAGCAAAGCATTTTTAATTTGAAGTAAACAAATCAGGCATATAGCCTTTATCACTGTAAATAAAGTACCTAGTTGAAATGATTCAAAATAATGCATTTAGCTAAAAAGCAACACTATATTAATTGCTCATTTATAAACAGCTGTGTAGGGACACAGACATCACAATTAAATGATCATTAAACCAGTATAAAGAACTCAACTGATGATTTTACAATATATCATGGTAGTAAATTTATTCTAAAAAGTTAGAAAATAGCCGGGCGTGGTGGCTCAAGCCTGTAATCCCAGCACTTTGGGAGGCCGAGGTGGGTGGATCACGAGGTCAAGAGATCGAGACCATCCTGGTC